AGCAAGGCCAGTTTGTCTTTTTATATATATATATATATATATATATATATATATAATATAAAATCTCATTCTTCTCTGTCTGGCTTTGTTGAAGGACGACTTCATGGAAGCCGACTTTTGAGGCTCCGTCTGCCCCCTCAGCCAAGCGACGAAGAAGGTCATCCCCCGGGCCTGTGATCGTCATCAAGGACGAACCAGAGGACGAGGATGAAGTTCGTTTTGTAAGAGAATTACTTAACACAAGTCCAGATGTCTTAGAAATATTTTGTTTAATAATGTAGCATGTAGGCGACGAGGTGTTGGTGGCATTATATTGCAGCATGCAAAAAGTGTTAATATATCTCGTATCACGTATTTTGCATTTCTTTTGCCTACAGGTTCAGTCCAGTGTCGGCTCCAGCCTACCGGACAGCAGCACTGGAGCTCAGTCGAAGCCTCGACAGCAGCTTAAGGTGTCTGCTCCTGTCCCTGTCCCCGGATCGGAGTCCAAAGCTGGGAAAGAGCAGCGTCCTCAGTCTGCGGGGCAGCCACAGTCTGAAAAGAGAGCAGAGCCGGAGGATGATCCCAATGAGGACTGGTGCGCTGTCTGTCAGAACGGAGGGGAGCTGCTCTGCTGCGACAAGTGCCCCAAAGTTTTTCATCTGGCCTGTCACATTCCCACTCTGAACGAGTCCCCCAGGTGAGAGACAGGCTGTCTCTCAATGCTATGGCTGCATAATTAAATGATGCTGGACACCTGAATAAGACTCCACCTACATTTTATCTTGGATTATTTGATTGTAGATTTTACTCCAGCTGGTAGTTTTACCAGCCCTTAGAGTATATTGTCATAACTACTAATTATTAGTACATCAACATGTTTAATATTTCCTGTAACTGAAAGCATTCTGATACATGTTTCAGTGTTATTAATTTGATAAGTGTATTTAATCTTTTAAAAAAAACATGTTTAAATTGACTAATAAAAAAATAAAGAGGTATTTGTTGTTTTACAGTATTTTACAGATTAGTCTTTAAATGATATTTCATTGCAGCTGCAGTATTAGTTTGTGATATCGGAAGGTTTGTTAAATTGGGTTATACTAGGTGGTGGTATAATATACAAAAGCAGTTTTATTCTCAATTAAAGAAGTCTATGGGACTTTAGCATGTACAGTTATTGTACTGCACTTCCTGCATTTCAAGTTATAAACTGCTAGAAATGTTGCACACCATGTGTGATGATAATGTACAGTATAGGTATTTGTAGGGGTTTGTCAGATTCTTCCAATTTCATCTATGACTGAGAAAGTCTAACATGGCTCGTTATCATTCTTAGTCTATGAGGTAAAATGAATAAGAGCAGTTGTTAGAAAATGTACAATAATGACGGGGATTCTGACAACCTGTTCTCTTGGTCTTGCAAGTGAGTAAGGTTGGCAGACAGGTCTGTGCATCTATCCTAACAAGCTCTTCCTGACATCTCTCCTCAGTGGCGAGTGGTTCTGTTCGTTCTGCCGAGACCTCGTCTCTCCTGAGATGGAGTATGACTGCAACAGCAAGGACGACCCCGTCTCTGAAGGATTCCCCCCTGTTGACAGAAGGGTATGTTCACAGCTGTCATTTACCTCCCTGTGCATGAGATTCTAAAGTACTACCTCCAATTAAACAAGTTGTATCTCTTTGGGGAAGAGACACACTTTACATAACATGATCAGTTACATGTCTGATCTAATGTTTTTATTTGTTTTTATATGCAGAGGTGTGAGAGGCTGCTACTACGTCTGTTCTGCAATGACTTCAGCACCGACTTCCAGCAGGCTGCTTCTCCGTCAGTAAGTTACCCTATCTAGTATTTAGTCACTAAAGTTTAAAAGAACTCCAGTGCTAGAAAATTTTACTTTTTGCTGAATTGAAAATAAGTAGATTAATAGATTAATTCTGATTTTAGATAGGAAGACATTAGAGGTTTTCATTTTTCTGACTTGGAGAAAGTGAAGACTTTCCACTGGAGAATTTCTAACTACAATGTGGACAGGAAATGTGGACTTGAATAGATTTTAATGATGGTAAAGTTCACTACTAAAATTAATGAAAAAGTTACTCAGTAACCAATGTACATCAGTGTGTGTGTGGGTTTCATTTTAACTTTTCATGTTCTTTTAAGTCATGCTTGGGTCATATTGACTGCACCAGAAGCCAATAAATATATCAGATTCTCTTAACAGATGTATCTTCTACTGTTTTCCTAATGTAGGAGACAAGAAGGTACAAAGAGCTGATCAAGACCCCGATGGATTTGTCGATAGTGAAGAGGAAACTGGAGTCGAAGTCGAGGGAAGGTGAATGTTACAGCAGTCCGGAGGGATTTGTCTCGGATGTCAGGCTCATATTTTTCAACTGTGCAAAGTACTACAAGGTAATCAGTTTCTATAAAATATTCCTTCCAGAACGATTGTAACATTGTATCGTCTTGCCAAAATGTGAATTACACAGTGACATGTCTTTCTGCTTATTGACAAATACCATGTAACACTCATTTGCAGGAGTTTTGCAAGTTGAGTTTTACCAAATATGAATTATTTTAAAATACATACTCTTTCATTGTCTGATATTTCTGTGCACTGACCGTACAGGCGACCTCAGAGGTGGGCAGTGCAGGCTTGTACTTGGAGGACTACTTTGAGGAACAGCTGAAACAAGTCTACCCAGATAGGGTCTTCCCCGGAGGGAGAGAAGAACAGATGATCCCTCCCTTGGAGGATGAGATAGACGAAGAAGAAGAGGAAGAGATGATGGAGGAAGGCATGGCTCCCACTGAAGACGATAAGCCACAGAGTCCTGCGGGAGAAGGAATTCCTCCTGTAGAAGAGGACCTGCCTCCTCTGGAAGAAGCATCAGCCCCAGCGGAGGAAGAAAAGCCCGAAACGCAGGAGAAGGTGATCGATACGAGCGATAAGGGGACGGACGAAAAGGCAGCAGCCGCGAAGGAAAGCACGCCTCCTGCGGAGGAGGTAGAGCAGGACGAGAAAACTCTCGTGCAGGAGGGGAAAAGCTCTCCGGCTGCAGAGAGTGAAACAAAAGACGGAGACGCTCCGAGCTCCTCGAAGGAGGAGAACCCTCAGCTCCCCACAGACAAGACTGCAGATCCACATGAAACCCCGGAGAAGGAGTCGGCTCCTGCAGACACACCCAAAGAGGAGGAGGGATAGACGGATTACCACAGAGAGAAACTATAGAAAAGATGGGTGATTTCAGTCTTCCAGAGAAGTGGCCCCAGTGGGGACCTACATTTGCTGCCACCAGACATTTTTTCTAACGTGTTATATTTGCAATAGGAAAAAAAAAGACTTATTTAGTAGCGGTCATGCTGTAGATGCACAGTGAAGGGAGCCAATGAAGCTCCTTTTGTGTTTTTTGACGGACAGAGGTTACAATTTTACTGTAACGCAGAGGGTTATTTTCTGTGAGGACGACACTGAGAAGCACACATAAGATATTCTTTGTTGATAGGATGGTGTGTAAATTACGATCAGTTACCTTGCTTATCACTTGTACATAACAATGCCATGAACTGAAGGAACAAATGCTGCAATCAAAATGTAGAAGGAAAAAAAAAAAAAGATTTTGAAATAGCAATGCATGCACGATGTCTTAATATAAATAATTTTTGTGTTTATAGACTTGAGCTCACTTGTACTAGCTGTTCGGCTCATGAACTGTTGCAATAGCATTATTTTATTTTTAATAGTATTGTATTACTGCTATGTATGCAACAAATAGGGCCCGCTCTATGTACTGTAGTATCTGTACAGACGCTGCCACATCTGTCGGTGATTTGACAAACCTGGCATTTTGAAAATTGCGCTGCTTGGTCGTTTACAAACAAAAATGAATTGCCACATGTCATGGTTTCATTTTTGTGTTGCCAGTTTGAGGCCTCTTACCCCCCCCCCCCCCAAATCCCAGTTATGTTCTATCACACAGCAGCCTTGATGGTTTTTTTTTATCAGGAGAACAATTCTTCAAACGGTCCTAGATAATTCCGAGACATGATCATCACTTTCTCATTATCGTCGGCTTCTAAAAACAATGTGTTTTTCCAAATTGTGTCCTTGCCCTCCTGCTGCATGATTACTTTTGCACAAGATTAGCCTAAGCCTTATTGTTTTAGTCAGTTTCCCTCACTGACAGTCATGGAAAAGCATGATGCATAAATTGGTCTATGGCATTAAATGAACAAATCACATTTATTGACAGAGGCTTCAGTTAACTAAACCATCCCGTATGAAGTCAACTCATATCAACTTCAACGTAGATTATTTTGTCCAACATCATCATTGTTATTATTTATTGAAAATAAACGACCTGTAAATGAACTCTACAATGTTGAGCATAAAAGAAATACCTGCAATTACAATATTTGTAATAAACAGGGTTACATGTACATGCTCCCACTGTTGTCACCTTCATTCTTTCTATTTGTTTGTTTATCACCTAGAGGAGTGGTTCCCAACCTGTGGTTTCAACCCCCACTAGGGGTCGCAAGAGTAATTTGAGGGGTCATGAGGCGATTAACAGTAAAGGAAAACCGAAAAGTTACACAAGGTTGTGCTTATTTGTCATAACTCTCACTAATTGTTGCCTTTTCTTTATAAATTACTTTACAACAGCAGTTTTAAGAATTAATTAAAATAACGAAAACAATATTAAAATAAAATAAAGTCACAAAATGAATTTTCTACCAGGCCAGAATTACTTTCTTTTCTTCTTCTTTTTGCCTGCATTTACGGCTTTCATACTTTATTTTTTCAACGCCTCTTCTTAGAATGTATCAGTTATTTATCTTTAACATCTACTCTTTACTCAGTTAGTGTACATAAATTAAAAAATATTATCGGCCGTGTCTTAATTATTCAGTAGCCAGGACAGTGAGGGGCGGCTCCCTCCACCCCACGCACCCCACGCATCGCCGGCCCCGCCCCCAAAAGCTCACCATGCGAGATTTGTGTCACCTCCGCTGCCGCTCAGATGATCTCCTTCTTGACGCACACACACACACACACCGTCCACTGCTGCAGTTCAGCCGCCGATCAACCAGCACTTTAATATAAACGTGCATTTTAGACAGTCGAAGGTCGAAACCCTTGAAACCGAGTCCGATGGCACAGTGGACAATACTTTTGTTTTCTTTGTACGGAGTTCTGCATGGACAAGGTAAGAACACAGCTGAAGTTTGGCACTGGGATGCAGGATTTGAATGTGTTAGTGGTTTGAATAACTTTTTATACACGTAGCTATGTATCTTTGGTGATATTATAACTTTTTATTATCTACCTACTGCCCATAAAGTGTCAGTCAATGTGAGAATGTGAGCCCATTTTAATTCAATGTGAGTCAGTCACTGGCACTCAAGGGCAGCTTTGCTATTTTTTTCCATCTCCTGTGCCGTCTTTTTCTAATCCTGTTGCCATCATCCCAACACGGCAGACATTCAGCCTCTCTCTGTACAACAGTGCTGTCAGGATGGGAGGGATCGGGCCCTTAGAGCACAAGACTGCACAATCCTCCCCCTCATCTCCTCTTCCCACACCTGCAGGTAAGCAACACCTGGTTTCTCAAACCAGCTTGGTGCTCTTGAGGGTCTCAAAATGGGGCCCAGGGACCAAGGAAGGCTCAGAGCAAGGGAGTTCATAGAGGGGTATGAGTGACGTTTGTTGTATTTATCAACAGTGCGACACTCCCCATCAGTTCACACAATATTATGTATGAAATAGTTTTGTAGCTTATATCTAAGTGTGGAATTTTGCACTGGGAAGTGTGTGTGTCCTGTAGGCCAGCGTTTGCGATGGTATTTTTAAAAGCAGGAAATGCCCTCGGGGTTGCAAGCCCCAAATCATCTCTACAACCCTCAACCATCCGTCCCGCTACAGGGGAGGATTGCCACATAGTAACTACACAGTAAGTGCAGGCGTTAAGTGGCCCCCTGGAGCACTTTTAACACTAAAAGGCCCTGTTTGACTGTTAGAACATGGAGGTGGTGATTGATGAAATAGAGGAACACCTGGTCAACACATGGAGGTCAGTGGGAGGAACATTTGCCAAGGAAAGAAGAGAAAGAATGGGGGGTAGGTTACCTCTTGCAAGTAAATATGCAACGTACTACAAACTAAATCCACTTATCAATTGTATGTAATGTAAATAGTAAGTATTTCTTCACTTCGCTTCTTATCCAACTCTTTCCTCACAGAGCAAAGAGTACAGTTTCGCTTCTGGATGAGGTTTCATGCCAAATCTTCTGCTGTTTATTTACAGGATTGCCCAGGAGCAGTGCTGTGCAGCAGCAGTAAGAGACCGACTCTGTGACAATGGCATCAAGATGGCCCGTGGGCAAGGGGCCTGTGAAAGGCCCTTCTTCCAAGGAGACCCCTGGGAAACCAAAATCTCTAAGGTTGTCCTCCTTCCTAATGTCAATATTTTCAACCTTTGCGCGTCTCCCAGTTCTCACACACAGAGATAATGCACTTCAAATCAGTACACATCACATTTGAGATAAGATTTCTTCTCCTTTTTCACTTCTTTTCAACTGCCTTTCCTTCTGTTTCACCTTCTCTGCCTCCTGTTTAGACGTGTTGTGACTGCTGCGTGCTCGGTCTGATGACAGCGCTCCAGGATCCGAGCTGCGAGCTCCAGGATTTGTTTCTGGGGAGACGGTGCACACACACAGTTAAAACCTGCTGTGACAAAAACACAACGGAGGAAATCAAACCAAATGATGTGAATGAAGGTAAAAAAAAGAACTTAACAATCTTGTGCTTTCAGTATTGTGTGTCTTGATTAGCTCCACTCTGTCTTATCATGAAAGAATGGCGACTGGCTGTCTGCGACGCTCAAAACAATCAATGTCCTCAGCCATTTGCACACGTTAGGTGCCAAATGACTTACATGACAATATGACGTGCTGCCACTTTCTAATAAGGCCTTTATAAGTCATAACTATTGGCTTTATTGGTGGTTATTTAAGTTTCTTATGCTTTCAGTTATATGCCAACTTTTGGGTTGTTCCTTTTTAAAACTCCCATTGCCTTGACCTTGAATTTCTAAAAAAGGGCTGCAGATGATATGGACCAAAATGTCTTATTAAATAACTTGTTGTGTTTTGTTACCTTAGAATGAGTCGTTTTTTATCAACAGAGGGAGTGGGTCCTCTTCTACGGAGTCCGCCATGTTGAACCGCCATGTTTCTACAATACGGGCAAACCAAACATTGACTCTAGATAGGGACTTTCACAAGGGTTTTGCGCCACAAGATCTTTTTCTGGCAACTGAGCAAGCCGATTCCACAGCCGAACGAATTCACATCTCTGACAAGACATGACTCCCATCCCATGTCACCTTCAGTAGCCCTCTTAGCAGTATATTTGTGTACCACTAGAAAGCATATCATGGCTCGACTCTGGATAGCATTACTATCAGCTACAAGTTACAAGCTCTTATAAAAACTACCTTATTAAAAAGTGGGGCCTATGATTTTATTAGCACTGGGAGCAAAACCTTAACACTCACCGAGGTTTGTATGGGCTAAAAGACTTTTCAAAGAAATGAGTGCGTCACAACAAAACAGGCAGGGTTACTAGGAGCAGAGAGAGCAGCCTTGCTTCATTGAAGGCCTAGATAAATGCCCTTCGGGTGGCAGCTGTGGAGCAGATTGCTGCCAGAGAGACAGACAGAGAGACTAGGTCACAGGGGTATTCACTAGACTAATCTGTAGACACCTTGCCAAATGGTAACCGAGGGCCAACTGGTGTTGTGGCCCTTTTTTAGCTTTTGTCGCCCAGCTGGCTTCAGGTGAAAAACATGAACGCGGGGAAGGGCAGAGCTGCAAAAACACTTGAATGTGAAGAAAAGGAAATCAGTGTTTTGCAGATAAAGACCAAGGCCCTAGGAGTGATCAGCATACCCATGAAAAAGCCACATATTTGTGGAGTTGCATTGTGTGACAAGGTGCAGAATATTCGCTCATATTTGGTTTTAATGGGACTTTTGCTTCCATAGAACCGGTGACAGAAAAGCCAGAGGTCAACGTTACCGCCCAGCCTATAGAGGGATCAGACACCTGTACAGGTTTTGGCACCTTCATTTCTTGATGTCATCTCCTTTGTTATAATAAGAGCTGTAAGAGGCTTAAGCACAAACGTCTTGGTGGTTTCCATCAGCCAGTGACATGATTCCTGTGATCTAGGACACACACTGTACACTGTGACATCTGCTTCTTCATGTGTCTCTCTGCTTGTTTTCAGGCTCCAATTGCTCCCAGTTGTGTGTAGGTAATGGTACATGTGCATGCCACGATGGGTATCGACTGCATAAGGATGGAGTGAATTGTGAGGGTAAGTAATGTAAATGAAAGCACGACTTCACTACAGATCTTTAATGTAAACAACTACTTCCCAGTGCCTGCATGGCAATGTCCGTGTGACGGGTTGTTGTTGGGTCCATGTCTTCAGTCCAGACTGAAATATCTCCACAGCTATTGGATGGATTGCCATGAAATGTAGTACAGACTCACTTCCTCTTCAGGATAAATTGTAATCACTTGCTGATCCAACTTAATTGTTCCCATCCAGTGCCACCAAGAGGTCACAATTGAATGTGTCCAATACTTTGGTTAATGACCAAATGCCGGCAAAACTAATGCTAACTAATCAGCCTCTATACGTTGTGTTTAGTGCTAATTAGCTAATGTTAGCATGCTAACATGCTAAAATAAGATGGTGAACTTGATAAACACTACACCATTGTCATTGTGAGCATGCTAGGGCGCTTACATTTAGCTCAAAGCACTGCTGTATCTCAGTCTCACAGAGGTAGCATGGCTGTGGAGTTGCTCATTTACCACAAAGACAAAATGTAACTGCACATTTGTGCTTTATTATAAGAATATTCTACTTTTCTTATTTTTGAGTGGATGCCTCTCTCCTCAGATATTAATGAGTGTCTGACCGGCAGTCACAACTGCATCCTTGGCCAAGCTTGCATTAACACAGAGGGCTCCTTCCGCTGTCAGAGGGAAACCGGCTGCGGCACTGGGTATGAACTCAAAGACGACAACAGTTGCCAAGGTAAGTCAGGAGAACTGTAGAAATGATCTAAATCACAATGATGGTGACTGTAATTGCCATGAGAGTACCAAAAATCCTTCATGCAAAGTGGTAAAATGGCCTAGAGATGACTTTACTTTTTATTTTACAGTATTTTATGCATTTGTTGAAACGGGATTTATGCATAGTATATTAATGCTTTGATTATTTTTTACTCCTTGCCTGGTCCAGACATAGATGAGTGTACTTTGGGGACCCATAACTGTGGACCAGACTTTTTGTGCACCAACACCGCAGGCTCATTCCGCTGTCACCCAAAGGAGAGGTGTGCAGACGGTTTCACTCAAGACGCCATCGGCAGCTGTATCGGTGAGTTTCTGTCCAACTCAAATAAAAACATTCCACAGGTAAAATGTGAGCTGTCTTGCTTAATGTCTTTATATATACTGTCAATGGTCTTTTCTCATTAGATATAAATGAGTGTGTGGTCAATACCAGTCCATGCCTGCCTGGCCAGACTTGTGTGAACACATTGGGCTCCTACACTTGCCGCAGGAACACAGTCACCTGTGGACGAGGCTATCACCTCACTGAGGACGGCGCGCATTGTGAAGGTACATACAATGAACCCATTTTCTATTTGTATCTCACCTTATTGTCCCTTTTTCATACTGCAGATGTAAATTCCCCCCCTCGTGTTACAGATGTAGATGAGTGTCGTACAGGCAATGTGTGTGGAGGCCATGGTTGCATCAACCTGGTGGGCTCATACCGCTGTGAATGCAGAATTGGCTTCATCTTCAACAGTATCACCAAACTGTGTGAAGGTACAGCTGAAATGAATCACTATTTTATTGTTTCTATTAGAACATGTTGTACACATCAGTCATAAAATGATGTATTTTTTTTAATACAGCAACCAATGATATGTTTTCATGATTGTCTGACTAGGACAGTGTTGGCATCTCTGGTAAATTCTGACTCTGACATTCATAGTGTGCCCCCTGTGTTCTTTAGATATCAATGAGTGCAGGCATTATCCCGGACGCCTCTGCGCCCACAAGTGTGACAACACAGTGGGGTCCTACCAGTGCAGCTGCACCACTGGCTTCAAGCTTTCCCACGATGGCAGAAACTGTGAAGGTAAAATCACTCTTCATTTCATTAATGCAAGACTTATGTTAGGGCTGTATTATACACAATAAATCTTAAAAACAATCTCTGAATGAGCGTAATGAAACATGTATATGTGCCTGTATGCTGGCAGATGTCAATGAGTGTGAAGCCAATCCCTGCAGCCAGGAGTGTGCCAATGTCTACGGCTCCTACCAGTGCTACTGTCGCCGTGGTTACCAGCTGAGCGACATGGATGGGATAACGTGTGAAGGTACCGTCAGACTCTATCTCACGATATTACTCGCCATACACGTGCGACAGATATCGCTCACATTTGCTCTCTGCTGCTGTCAGATATCGACGAGTGCGCTCTTCCCACTGGAGGACACGTGTGCTCTTACAGCTGCTCCAACGTTCCCGGAAGTTTCTACTGTACCTGCCCACACACAGGCTACACCCTCGCCCAAAATGGACGCACGTGCCAAGGTGAGGGGACAAACCTTTGGTCCTGTGTTGGTGCTTATCTACCTTTCCCCATACTTGTAGGAAACTGGGTTGTAAATTACTATTAAATGTCTCACCTTTCCACACCCCCATGTGTTTTCAGACATTGATGAATGTGCAGCGGGGATACATACCTGTTCCGTCACCGAAAGCTGCTTCAACGTCCAGGGGGGATTTCGCTGTTTGTCCTTCGCCTGTCCTCCAAACTTCCAGCAGGCAGCACAGGGGTGAGGTTGCATGGTTATAATGAGCTGTTGAAATGGAAGGGTTGATTGTCTGCAGCTGAGCTTTAGGACTCTTACTCAACTGTAGTTTAGTATTAAGACTTCCCGTGATGTGGATTTGTTTGGGTTTGGCCACAGTTTACACTCACAAACTCCTCCGGCTTCCTCCTATTACTCCCCCTCTCTGTCCTTTCCCTCTTTTTCTACCCATCTACGCAGCCGTTTCTGCCCTCCAATCCAATGAGCATTTCATTTTTTCCCTTTCAGTCGTTGCGAGCGCGTAACTTGCGAGTTCACGCGGGATCCTGCGTCGTGTTTCTTGCTCCCGCTGAGAATCTCCTTCTACAACATCAGCTTCCCCATCAACACTCCCGTCCCCGCTGATGTTTTCCGGATGGGACCATCTAATTCCGTGCCGGGAGACAAAATGCTGCTCAACATAGTCTCCGGAGACGACGAGGGATACTTTATCGTGCAGCAGCAGGTTCAAGGTGGAGAGATTTCATTGCTCCGCGCCTTATCCCAACCCCAAGACTTCTTTCTGACTGTGGAGATGAGGCTGATTCGTTACGGGAAGGCACATCTGTACATGGCCAAGATCGCTGTGTTTGTTACACACGAGCAGGCCATCCGACCGTCAAGAACATTTCCATATTAGAAGATTGGAAATTTAAAGTAATAGCTTGGAGTGTTGAGTCCATCCCTATTTTGTACTCGCCACATGAAAAACACCATTGCAACACATAATGGTGGTTTTCATCGTCCTCCATGCTTTTCTTTGTACTGAAGCACAGCTCCAGCTTTCCATTTCCATTTCCATCTACCCACTAAAGCAGTTAATAAAGGCCAAATCTGTAATTCACCCAGAACTACAATGATGCTACAGCAGTCTGTCATGGTGAATTTGAGTGGTTTAAAAAAAATCTATTTATTTTTATAACTAAATAAAGTGCCGTCTTTTCTTATCAGCATCCATCCTTTTATATATTCCAGTTCAATTTATCAGTAATAGATAATAATGATACATTACATAATAGATAATAGATTGTTTTTGATTGCTTTTGTGTTAGCTCTGGTCAGACTGCGTAATACTTTTTTTATTTTACAATAAATGGGGATTGTGAGGTTGTCCCTGATTACTATTGAGCTCTAGATGGAAAGCCAGAACTGAATGTTTCATATGAAGAAACAAATGGAATGTAGATGAGAAAATTAAAACTACTCTCGTATTTGTTGGCAAAAAATGAAGCTACAGCCAGTTAGCTTAGTTTAGCTTAGCGCAAAGAATGGAAACGGCTAGCCTGGCTCTGTCTGGCGGATGCTATGCTAAGTTAAGCTAAGTGGCTATATGGCTGTTGAAGCTTCATATTTAACGTACAGACAGAGTGGTATTGATTCCTCTCATCTAACTCTCAGCAAGAAAGTGTATTTAGCAAACAAAAACAATACAAACTCTTTATCCAAATGCAGCAGAATTATACATTTTACAGTAAATGATGGTTATTAAAGGAAAACAAATCTAAATTGCATATGTATCTGTAATGTGGTCTTGAGGACGCATTTCTTTAAAATAATCCTTGTTTTTCAGTTGTTTTAACATCTCTCAATGCCTTTTATGTTATTTATTTTAACATAAGAAGTAGCAGTAGATATTAAGAATATTAGGACATTGTACCACTAGATGGGGCTCATTAGCTGTTGAGGATCTCTGCAACACTATGGCAGGATTATTCATGTGCATTAATTTGCACTGATGGCAGCTCACTCTACCTCATGTGTGCGCGGCAGCTTCCCTTTATGTGTACTCTCTATGCGTTTGGAATTAAAGAGTGACAGATAAAAATGTCTTTTCAATCTCTAATATCTGAGCACAAACACACACCGGCAATGGTTTCTGCCACTACTCTCGCGCTTCCTCCTCTGTGGTCATTTCTGATGCTGAAACCAATTTTTCCTATGATCTGTTCCAAGCGGCCTCACCATAGGATCAAACAGGCCTCGCCTTAGCGGATAGCAAGAAAAATAAGCGTGGCATTTATTTATGGGCACCTGGGGCTCAGCCAGCATGGGGGCTCAATTAGTGGTGGAGCGGCATTACAGCTCATATGATGGATGGTGCTTTTAGTGTTGGTATTGGGTGGTTATCAGTTAATTTGCTGTAAATGATACCAAAAGGCTTGTAGCTGTTTTGGTCAGCTGGATAAAGAAAGCCAGACAAATTTTCCACTGTTCCACTTTCATCCCGGTGGTTTTTGGGGTTTAATGCATATAGAGTTGATTGAAAACGCAAAAAAATGAAATATATGAGGTAATTATTCTCTTAAATCTTTGGATTATATAACCACCTACTTTCCAAAATGCTATGTTAATTTTTAATTATGTAAAAATAGTGAAACACTGTATGATAATAATGTTTTTTGGACACATTTACGTTTGATTATGTGAAAATTGTGATCTTTTTCCTCAGTCTACCATGTGACTATGATGTCATTGGATCACATGAAATGACATTCATTCTTACATACCCCCGTGTGGTTTTTCTACCATCCTGTTTTTCCTTGGTGGCATTTCACTAGTGTGGATTACCACACAATCATCTCTGTGGCTTTGGCCCCGTGCTCAGCGAACAACTTGGACTCACCTGCTTGCTGCTAATTACATGGCTCCGCTCCCTTCGCAGTTTTTGAGGTTATATTTGAAAGCGCTACTGTCTTCACGTTGGTGAACCCCACAAACATGATTTTAGGTTGTGGAATCGGGGTTTGGCTTCCTTTTAAGGCACCCGTTCCTTGGTTAACCATGGAGGTCTATGGGGCTATTCAGGTGTTGCCAGGTTCTTCTTGCTCAACTCAACTGTGGAGTTTTGGTCAAAGCTTTTTCTTATGAATACTGGTGTATACTGTTTAGGTTAAAATTGTGGGAAATTCACACTTCTCCTTCAGAATGTGTGTTCCTCTTTCCTTGGCTAAATCTCCCCTTTTCTCCTTTCTTTCCTTCTCTCCTCTTGCCTCCTTTCCATTGTCCTTTTCAAATCCAGACGAGATGCTTCTGTCAACGTACGTTGTATTAAGGCCTGCCAACCTAATGACAGTGGCTGCAATCTCGACCCCGTCCATCTCATCACCCACACCGCCCTCCCCCTGCCAACCTTCAGAGACATCAGTGAACCAGAGGGTAAGACAAGGTTGAAGCAAGTTTTTAGATTAGTTTGTGTTTGTATTGTAGTCCCCAACAGGGAAAGAGGCTTTTTATTGGTTATAATGCTTCAATCAATTATTTAACATTCTAGGTGTTGAGTCTTGACCCCTATGACGTTAAAAAGCTTAGTGACATAATTTAACTTAATTAAAAGTGACCTGAAACAAATATTTGTTGTTGCACCTAATTGATTTTCCTGTTTCATTGTTTATGCTGTGACACCACAAACCTCACAGACTCCACTGGTTGGTTGGATTACTGTTATGTAATGAGCTATAATATTTGAAAATGTATTTTCTATCAATAGTTTTCCAGGCGAACCTAAACTCCACATATACAGAAAATCCCTCATAAATCATGAATGCAGTTATTTACATAAAATATGCAATGCGAATTAGAATGTGCACTACATCCATAGTTGAAGATATGATTCATGATTTTGAGGCTGTTAAATACAAGTAGGACAGAGACACCGTTTTTGGGGTTAAAAGGGTTAACTCAGTAGCTTGTAATAGCAAATTCTCAAATTATTTGCAGCCTCGTTGAAATAAAACTTTCCGCCCAGCAACCTGCCACAGCGCATAAGATTCAATTACTTATTTCAACCCACAGAACAATTGTTTAATCGATCATAAATATCTGATTTGAAGGACCAAATGCACTTTGTGGCTTCTTTCTACCAGACTAATAGAAACTTTAAACCAACTCTTCCAACAGATCTAGTTTTCCTGCGGACAGTTGCGGCAGCTAACCCTGTTCCTGTACCCGGTGCGACTGATGTTTTCTTTGACATCCTGGATGCAGATGACCAGTTCTCTTTTGATGTGCAGAAGCGCTCCCACCAGGGCATGATTATGGGTAAGAGGAGAGAGTAAAACTTGAAACCAGGCTGTCAGTTCTCTTACCAAATTCCTAAATCCTTTATTGAATAGTACATACACATATTACATTTACTTATATCTCTCCCAAAACTGAATTTCAGTCACTAATCCCAGTCTGTGTCATCCCTCAGGTGTTGTTCGGCAGGTGAAACCTATCATTGGCCCCAAGGACCTTGTGTTGGAGGTCGCTATGAACTATGTCAAATCAGGGGTTATTTCCCATCGCAACATTGTCATCGTCCATTTCTTCGTCTCTGAGTTCTGGTTCTGAGCTGTGCAAAAAGTGGATAGTAATTCTGCATTAGAAATACAACACGTATCTGAGCAAATATTATTTAAACATAGTTTTTAATATCTGGTGCCACACTTCTTGCTGAACATCTGAAAACACCTAAATTGGGAATGCTGTTGCGTGCAAGATAAATCATTGGATTTGGTTCATATGCAAACGTTTTATATGTACTGAAAACAGTTACAGACGCAGTTTGCAACCCATCCAGTGCATTGGTTTACAACAGGTCTTTGTTATTTCAACTTAATATAGCCCCACAGAAATGCTAACCATGCTAGCATCTCTGTGAAGCAGTAGGCTTTTAAATGCTAATGTCAGCATGCTAACATGCTTGCAGTGACAATGCTAACATGCTACTGTTTAGGTGGTGTAATACCTTGTTAACCATCTCGGTTTAGTCCGTTAGCATGCTAACTTTTGCTAATTAGCACTAAACACAACGTACAGCTGAGGCTGATGGGAATGTTTATACATACTTGGTCATGAACCAAAGTGTTTGTCAGACTGAAAATTAGACCTGATGGCACTAGATGAAAGTATAAGGGATCAACAAAGTTATTAAAATTCATCCTGAGGGGGACATGTGTACCAGATTTCATGGCAAGCCAGCCAATAGTTGTTGAGACCACAGATGGCAACCTCATGGTGGCCTTAGAGAAGTTATAGGGGATCTACAAAGTCGTTAGTTATGTATCATGTGTGAACCATGACTGTCTGTACAACATTCCTGCCAATCTATCTGATAAATGTTGAGATATTTCAGTCTGGACCGATCTGACCGACCAACCTCCTTTGATAGATCCATAGATCAATAAAGCACCACCGTTAGCATGGTCAAAAGTTATTTTTAACACAACAAAAAGAAAAGACTAATTCCTCACTTGATACCTCTACGCCAGATGTGTTGAAAGTTACATGCCTTCTACAAGAGTGAAATGAAATAATATAATACATTAACAGGGTGCTGTCATCTCCTTAACCACTGTCTACTGTGTTTAATTTGAATTCAGACTTTGTTGTCATGAGTGACACCATGATAGATTGTTGGTTGATATTTTTGCTCCATTTCATCTGTTTTGACAGACCAGATGTGCTTCATCTATTGGGTTGCTTTCAACATTGATTGTGTTTTGTATCATCAGACTGTACGACCATCTGTGAATAATAAAGACTCTATGTGGTTAATTGTGTTCATGTTTTTTACTGAAAATCCTCAACCACTGCAGACTAAACCAGCCATCTTCTAGTTACCATAACTGAGGTTTCCAGAATAACTAAAGTCCTGTTTTTTCTGTAACACGACTCTTCAGATTCCCCGTCGTAACTTACCACTTCCAGTTTATGAGGATATTTCCAGTTATTCCACTCAAAGAATGAATAATGGGACTCCTATACTGGAAATATTTGGATCTTTGAATACCTCATCTTAAAGCTGGCAAATTGCTTGACTTGGATACTCCTCACCATCCATAATCAACTCTCCTCCACATTGATCTGCCTTTCACCACTGCTGGGCTGTGCCTGGCCAATGAAAACACAGGGGACAACCATACAGAGCCAAATACTGTAATCTAAAATTTGCCACTCTACATGGAAATGCCAAAGGCTTGCCATGTGGCTTTAATGTTGCAGCTGCAACAATTGTCCCACAACTTGTCTGGGCTCAATGAATTGATCTTCAGACCTTTAAACATTGCTTGAGGGGAATGGTGCAGCTGCAGTTCAGAGCCTGTACAGAACTTCTATCTCAGTAATATTGCGGGTATGTCTAAGTATAGGTATACAGTGGGCCTACATTTTCTGTAATGTGAGCTGTCAGCTTCAAACACCTCATCTTAGACTTATGGTGGATATAGGGCTGACTATGAGCAAAAAGAAATTAAGTAGATTTATGAAGCACTGTAAAACATGCCTTTTACAAAGCTTTTCACAAGACTATAAAGATAATAGACCAAGATGACTCTTAACAGAGCATGAAGTAAATTACATAGAAAATGATGAACAACAGGAGAAGAGCTACCTTAGCAACTCTCCCATTTAAAACTCCTTATAAATGATGCCTTATGAGAAAGTACAACTGTTTTATATTTCAACCGACTGCAAAACAAATGTCCTTTTGTGGACGATAAAGTTGGAGCAGAAGTTCTCAGTAACACCAGAAGGAAATATGGTATATCTAAATTAGTTTATTGGTAATACTATGTCATGAAATAATGGCACTAAACTACTAACTTAAGTAAAAGTAGCAATGCCACAGTGTAGAAATACTAAAAATCCTGCATTCAAAGTTAGAAAAGTAAAAATACAAAGGTATTAGTATTAAAATATAAGTACTAAAAGTATACTCATTGTGCAGACTGGCCCATTTCAGAATATAATGTCATTAGATCATAATTACTGATGCAGTCATGTGTACATCACTTTAATGTTGCAGCTGATAAAGGTGGGGCTAATAAAAAAAATAATAATAATAAAAATCATTTATATACTGCTGGGTAGCTTATGAATGAACCCCAAGGATAAATAAAGTCTTATGTTATCCTAGCATATCATTTATTTGTTGATAATATTTTGTGTTTGTATGTAGTAGTAGTAAAAAGTAAAGTATTTGCCTCTGAATTGTAGTGGAGTAGAAGTATAAAGCAGCCCAAAATGAGAAAAAGAAAAGTACCTCAAAGCTGTACTCATGTAAAGTGCTTCAGTAAATATACTTAGTTACTAATAACCCCAACCCTGACTAAGAAATACTAACATTTTCTGAGCTCTCTCTCTCTCCTGACTGAGCACAGTGACCCTACAGTGTGAAAACAGCAGCACATGCTGTGACTCCGCCTTCATCCCGGATTGAACCAATAACGTATCGGGAAGTTATCCGGAAGTCCCGCCCATCCGCATGAATCAGGCGAACATGGCAGCTTCCACCAGCGGCTCTTTGGATATCTCAGCGTCTGTCGCTGGCATTCTGAATGAGAAACCCTGCACTGGACACTTGCAGGCTTTAAAAACAATTACGACTGCCTTACGGGACAAGGAGTACAGGTGCGGACGAAGTAACTGACACAGTTGTTAAATGGAAAATGAGGGCGTTAGCTTATCGGATAGCTAGCCTGAATACACCAGTGAGTTACGTACTGTCAAATATAATAATGCTAACGTAACGTAACGGTACGGGCCCTTTACTGCCGCTGGTGTTGAGGCCCGTTGTCCCTTTTGTGTTAGTAAACTGCTCGGTGGAAGCTCATTCAGCCACCTGACCGCAGTGCATGTTAGTTCAGATACAGTATGTCCACTTTAGTTCAAATGTTGTTATAAAGAACAAAGACGACTGTCCAAGCTGTCTGTGGATTCAGACGTTTTGAGTTGTCATGTCAGCGAAAGCATTGGGTGTAACTGAGAACATTAATGATGCCACTGCCTGTAATCATTATAAGCAAAAAAAATGATAACGCTGTTAGTTTGACTTGTGATTGACAAATGAAAGAGTCTTCTGTGAAAGTGACTATTAAAGTATTCCACTCCTCCTCTGCACTAAAGTAACAGTGCTGACTTCCTTTGTTGTTGTTGTTGTTGTTGTCCCAGAGATGCTGTGGAGGAAGAGGCGTTCTCCAGTCTCCTAAAAGTCTTGTCCCGACTGTGTGATGAGCTGCAGGCTGCCAGCAGTGAGGATCCAGACCTGCAGTCTGTCACCCTGCAGCTGCAGCTGACGGCCGAGTGCTTCAGGGCTCAGAGGAACGCCTGTGTCCAGAGCACTCGCAACCAGACTCTGCTCAGGTAATTCCTTATGCAATGCAGTATTAATGAGACAGAAGATACCAGGTCTAATTAGTGGCTGGGAGAATATGAGAGAGATATAGGAACAGCACAAACTGCTTTAGAAAATGACCATAAGGGTGAATCAACATCTTTTTGATAATTGACAATTCAGTTTGGTATATCGCAAAGTTGTAGGCGTTACAGCGATATTGTATTAGTTTGCAATGCACATGTATGTGTTTATGTTTCTTCTTTGACGAAATAAATAAGCAAGGAAGCAACTAAATGTACAGCAAGTACATAATAAAATCATCCTTTTTCTCTAGGGAGCTCGGTTTCACTGATGTGTCCCTTAAACTGCTAAGCCTCCTTCAGACCACAACTTTGGAGAGCAGAGATGACATATTTGAACGTAAGTCTAAGCTTAGGTAATTGTTCCTTAATGAAATGATTCGATTTTTTTAGGTGACCTTTTTGATGCTCCTCTTTGTTTGTTTTTTTTCGTAATCCAGCTCTTCGTTGTGGGATCCAGTTCCTTGGTAACTTAGCAGTTGGAAACCAACTGTGTAAAGACGACATTTGGCAGCTGAGCTTCCCTAATATCCTGCTGTAAGTTTTGTGTGGCACATTTGCAATGTTAAATAAAACCATAATAATTCATACTATGAACTATATTGTATACTACTCTGTGTTTTTAATCTGGCTCTAGACTTGAGGCGTGTCGTCTACATCTCTCTATTTGTTCCACACTAAAAACAGTGTTGATATGAGACCGTGTTAAGCCCTTTGCTTTTTACACCAACACACATTCTGCATCAGTATTTTCTTTGTGAAAGCTCGATCACAGACCTTTGTAGCCGAGCCATTTGTCTCACACTGAGTTCCACCCAAAAAGGCGAGCTGCTCAGTGTTTGAAATGATAGAAGGCCGGTAAAACTAATGCGGTCTATGGTACTCCACACATGTCTGGATGAAGCTAAGGTGGAAGAACTGTCTGAGCCGCAGAACATCCAGCTGGCTCTCAGGGTGATGGAGCTCTGTAGGACCCAACCTGACCTGGACTGGACGTAAGTGTGTGTGTGTCTGTGTTAGTGTGTAAAGCACTTGTTAGTTGATATGTCTAAAGAGTATACGGTGTGTGTGTGTATGATGTCAAGGAATTACTTATTATTTTCTGCGACTTGTTGATAACATTTTTATTTGGTATTCGTTGTTTTACAGGGTTCTCATTGCTACCCAGCATTTCCTCAAGTCTTCCGCTCTGGTGGAGAGCATGTACTCTGGGATGTCTCACCATGAAAAGTACTTTACTTTAAATGTAGTGACAGACAGTGAATGCCACTATAGACTTTTAGATCTTCCTACATTACACAGAAACTGATTTTACAGTAAACACAGCCCATTAAACCTCTAATAAAATACTTTTCTGATACTGTGAAATAGCAAGGTGATGTACCCAGAAAAGCTAATGCTACATATTAAGTAGTACTACCCTACACATAGAAAATGCTAATAACTCATAATATCTCATACTAAAAGGTGCTGTAGATGTGTCATATGTATCTGTGTGTGTGTGTTTTCAGAGTTACTCTATTAGAGCTGCTCTTTGCTCAGCTAAGAGAGGAGGACTCAGAGGAGTGTGGCGTCCCTCCCAGTGTGGCTCGCTTCCTGGCTAGTTCCTTCCAGAAAGGTTGTGGAGCTGTGCTGACACTCGCCACTGGCTCCGCTTCCAGTGATGAGGTACAGATAGTAAACCTGAGTAATGTATCTTGCGCAGGCCTCAAAAACACAGATGTTTAGCAGGCCTTTGGAACTGGTGTTGTTGTTGTGTTATTTGCCTCATGAAGTGAGTAATCTGTATGTAACATTGGCTTTTTCCAGTTTTAGTTTTCCATTTTCTAACAGACATGTCCCCTCCCTAGCATTATCTCACACAGCATCCTTTCTCCATGTGACTGACACCTGTTTGTTGTAATCCCCTGTAGGTCCTGCAGGAGGCACTGACAGTGATTAGTTTGCTGGACGTGCTGTGTGAGATGACCTCAGATCTCAGGCAGTTCATGTTCCTACAGGACCATCCTGACCTTCTCATGACCACTGTTGGTAAATGAAAACACACACTCGCACATTGGGTCCAATTTGGCCGTCTTATGGTAAACATGTCATCTGGGCAAAAGAGACACTCCTTGGAATGGTGAAAGATCCAGATCCAGATAAAAGTAAAGTGCTTAAACAACACAAGTAAATGTATCTACTTTTTCTCTCTCTTTCTTCATCTCCCTCCTCTTTGTGCTTCTCTCTGCAGAGCTCCTGCAGCAGGTACATGCTATAGGGAAGGCCAGTAAGAATATTTTCAGTGCTGCACAAAACTTCTCTTCCTTCAGTGGAGATGGAGACTTTTCGTCCCATTCCCCTGTCATCA